GCATGCAAAGCATAAGCTTCGTAACTAAGCTAGACTCCAATCCTTTTCGATAATAAGCCTTTAACAGCACATGAGGGTGATGCATTCAAGTCACCTTGTATAAACAGGGAATACTTTAACAGAAACAAGCCAGATATCAGATATCTCTGCTTACTATGTAACTGCTTACTGCAGTTGTGAATTCCTGTCACAGCAAAGTTTGAGGTACTGATCTTTGCTCCAGCAACAAAAGCCTAAACTTGCTTTCCAAATTATGTGTTTGTTTGCTTTGGTTTTTAATTGCCTGTAAACTGCCCAGAATAGTGACTCAATCCTAATGAGGTGGTATATCAATCAATCAATCAATCAATCAATCAATCAATCAATCAATCAATCAATCAATCAATCAATCAATCAATCAATCAATCAATCAATCAGTTAAACTTATCTAACAAAAACAGCATACACGTGGGTGGGTGTTGGCCTTTACAATTTTCCAAGCAGTGGCACATTCATTGGTTCCTGTGATTATGCATGCTACCATTTGTGCAACTACAAGCACAACTGGCAATGGCATTATATGCCTTGCCATAATCTAGAATGAGAATGTGGCCATGGAATGACATCACTAGATACTGGACATAACCAATTAGGCTTATAAAACAGATTTGCCCTCAGAAATCCTTTGGGGAGCTGTTACATGTGACTCTAATATGCTTTCCAAGTTATGTAGGATGATCAAAGAGTAGGTCATCATTGCCACCCTACCTCCACTGATTTTCCATGGCTTAGTGGAGATGTGAACCCAAGTTCCCTGAGTCCCAGTCCATCACTCTAGCCACTATACCGCTCTAGCATCAAGAGAAAAAATAGCCAAAATCCAGTTGCTAGTTCTAAGTAGAGTATTCCCAGCGAATCAGTGCTATTTACATAAATGTTCACTTGCTATTCTATAGTGTATTTAATCTAGTATTTTCTTGATCCAGCTGGGTGATCACGGAACAAAGGAAGTCTAATTACCTTAGAGAAAGAACAAAGGAGTTGATAGCAGATGTCCAAGCCAGCGGAGCCTACAAGCATGATAGCGGATGTCCAAGCCAGCGGAGCCTACAAGCAATGTCCTGAGAGCTCTTTTATTTACTTAGCAGGATTACATAGTATGATGTGAGAGAGACAGATAGGATACTAGTTATCTAATTGTAACTAGGATTGGATGAAATAGCCCTTTGATCTTATGCTCTACCTCTAAGTGATAGGGCAGAATAAGGGGTTACCCCGCCTGCTGGCAGCTGCCACTTCCTGCCAGGAGTGTATGCACGTCCCTGGAACAGAATGCAGCTACAACTTTTAAGCAGAAGTTTCCCACAATTCACACTACAACTCATATGACTCACTATTACAGTAAAAACAGCTTATGTTCTGACTAATTAATTGATTTGTTTTCTTGTTTATTTTTATAAAACTGAAAACAGAAAAGTTAACCTTTGTAAAAATGATCTGGGCTGTATTGCTTAGGAAGGTTCTTCAACATGGGTCTATGCCAGCTGGATCTTTCTATATAGACAAGGATTTCCATTTTTATATGCCAGTTTAATATGATAAGGGATTTCTTTCTTATCAGAGTCTCCTAACAAAGTAGAAACAGTGTTGAAAAGCCACTGGTTTCTCCTGATTGTATGAAATGTATCTTCAATGGAGTGATAGTGGGGATCATGCAAACATTTTGTCATGTACTCCTTCAGTATTCTGAAAGCATGCCATCATTAGATTTAAGACTTCATAAGTCTTTTTAGTGTGATTTCTTTTTGGTTTTGCTGAATTATATAGAAATATTCCAAGAACTATAGAACACTCTATTTGAATTTCCTCAGTAATTTAATATTAATGAAGCCTGATAGATGGCAGTATTGGATAGCTGATGAAAGAAAATGAAAACACCTTTTTTAAAAAAGCCAATGTCTTGTCTTTGCTGAAATTTAAAATTTGTTCATAATCCATTGTTTTCTGCACAAGTGTTGCAAAAGCTTTGTCAGGAATTAATTTAGCAAATTGCTAAAGGTATAAAAACAAATGATTCTTTTTTTAAAAAAATATTATACACCCACACAAAAGGATTAGGGGGAAAAATCAGCCAGGAGCTGTAGAGCTAGGACTTTTACAGTAGGGCCTTTAGGCTACAAAGATGTGAAAGGATTTAGGAGGGTGGGAAGACTACATGAAGGGACACATTTGATCAGTTTTCCCTGTGGAAGATGTTGAGGGAACTACTCAGACCTGAGCCATGGATTTCAGGTAGGAGATCTGAGAAGCTGTCAAATAAAGTTGATCACAGATGATATTGCAGTTGATGAATTACAGATTAAAAATCACCAGGCCTAGATGGAATTCATGCCAGAGTTCTGAGGAGCTCAGCCTGAAATTGCTGGATTTTTAAGAGACGTCTTCAACATATCCTGAAGAGAAGTCTCTTGTACCAGAGTATAGCCAGAATAACATTGGTTTTGAAAGAGGAATCCAGAAAGTGGACAGTGTATGTTAAAACTTCAGAGCTGTCTACTTAGCTTCTGTGTCAGGTAACTTTGTGGAAATAATTATTAATGAGATAAACATAAGAACCAGAATCCTGTTGGGAAAAAAACTTCACCTAGGAGGGCAGTTGCGCAACTGGTTCCCCTGTTTTTGCACCTGTGGTGTGACCAATATTTTGGCAAAGAAGAGGAATTGGTTTTTGCCAGCAGAATGATAACTACTGTGGAACAATCAGCAAGTATTTTGCCCATAAACAGTCTGGGACTATTAAAAAACAGGTCAATGCAAGGGATCAACAAGTAGGTGGAGGGTCAAAATAGAAGAAAGAATACAGTTAGAAACAAGACTTCCTTAAGCACCAAAAGCAACTATTTGTCATCACACAAACTTTTTTCATCTCTCAGAATTGACTTTTTTTGGGGGGGGGGCTGGTCACTGGGAAATAGAGACAGAATCTTTAGGTGTAATTATTCAAACATGCCCCTGGAGAACAAAGGTGTAATTGTTTGCTCAATGTGAAGCTGGCATCCTGTGTAGTTTGACCCATCCTCCTCCTCCCTCCCTCCCTCCCTCCCTCCCCGGGTTTTCCATGGGGTCCACTTCTCTCTTTTCCAGGCAGTAGCAGCAGCAGTAGTTCAGACTCTACATGCTCTGTCATAGAAAAACCTCTGGACAAATCCTTCACTAGTGAGTGGGAGCTCCTAAGTCATCCAGTGAAGCTTTGGCCTTTCCATAACTTGTGCACTCATTGTTTGATGCTGCATTTTGCTACCTGTCCCTGACATTGGTTATATTCAGAGTGACATGTGGATTTCCCCACCCTCACCCCATGAAATAAAGCATGTTTTATTTTCTTTGCTCTTTCAGAGTTTGGAGGGGGGAAAAGTCTCCTTCAGGCTTAAGTTAAATAGCTCAAAATTGATATTATATAACAGATAACAGATACAAGTTTTAACCAAAAACCTAAATGTCTGCTAAATATCAGCACTGTATGTATGCTGTTCTTAATATTGCTGGGGTTTTTTTTGTAGCTCTGATAGCATGATTTCTGAGATCTGCAACTGCTTATAGCACTGTGTGAAATTTCGTGATATTGTTCCCAAAGCCATGATGACCGCTGCAGTGTGTTTCATCCACAAATGAGATGTTTTGAGTGCCAGGTCTCTGTATTTTTGTTAGTTTTTCCAATTCTTTATTTTTTGAACTCTAACATCCCCTGGAATTTCAATGTCAATGATCCAGACATTTCTTTTGTCTATTACTACTATGTCTGGTGTGTTATGTTCAAGGTGTTATTTTTGAGATCTACAACTACTTATAGTACCATGTGAAATTTCTTGATATTGTTCCTCCAAAGCCCCTCTCCTCCTCCTCCTCTTTTTCTTCTTCAGATTAAAATCTGTAAGCATACAGAGTCTATATTTTTGGACTTGGAGTGTTCAAGCTTTCTTCTCCACTTTTTGAAGCATTTGTTCACTAGTCTCTTGAGAAATGTGCAGAGATCTGCTGTGTGTATGCATCCTACTGCTAGTCATGGTGCCTTAATCTCAAGTATATTGTCACACATATACACATATTGGTCCCTGTGTGTGAGTGTGTATGTGTGTAAGAGAGGGAGAGGGAGGGAGAGAGAGTGAGAGAGTGGGAAATGTAGCGATAAGCTAGGTGATGTCTTCCTAGGGCAACAACTGCCATAGTTTGTTGGAGAACTCCAATTTATTTTGAACAGCCCCCCCCCCGAATCTGGCCATGCCAAATCATCATGCCTTTCAGAAAAATGTTTCCAAACTGTTAATGTGGGCTCAAGGGCAATGGAGCCATTCAGGTCCCAATCTCCTTGAGACTACTTTAAATATAAAGGGGGGGGCATTTTGTGTTTATGTGCATGTCATGTGTATGGATACAAAATGCTCCCTCTTCATTCCCACCCCAGTAAATCTAGAAAATCTTGATCAGCTTTGCTGGACTATATTGATGTTTCTTTTAAAGGAAAATCTGGAGTTCAGGCCCATCAGATTGAACTAGAAATTTAGAGAAATGCATATTCCCTAGAATTAGCCTTTCCCCACCCACAAATTTTCTCAGAAATATAGATCTCAACAGTCAGACTTCAACATTAAATTCATGTTTACCTTCTGATGACCTGTTAAAACAAAGAGCATGTTAAATGCAAAAACACAGGTGAAAACACACACACCCCCCATGTGTCTTTCGCCACTTACGTGAACTCTTTTTTGGAAAGAGCTCAGCAACGTATGTGGTAGACATCCTGCCCCCATAACCTTTTCGAGGTTTGAAGATTTAAAATTTCAAGGCCTAGGATGTCTTCCCCCACCCCTCATGTCTCCTAATCCATTATGGTCAGCACGTTACCTCAAAGTCTGTATTATGCAATGATTTAGCAAAGCTTTGAGGAGGTCTTTGCCTCAAATCCATTAATATGATTGCAGAGATGTAACAATGAAAATCCCCCTTGTGCAGTAGCTGACAAGATGCGGGTACGTTTCTAAACAAATGATGCTAAACAAGGAAATGATGCAGCAAGGAAATGAAGCAGCTGTCCTCCAATATATAATGATGCTGTTGAGTAACGTGTACAATTAAAGAGTTGTTTTTATGCACAACTGGGATTGTGTCATACATAAATCTGCATACCGGTTGTGAATTCTTGATTGATGCAACAAAACTTGAAAGCTAGATGGAGACTTGTTGAACATCTGTTTTGCAGTATTAATTCTCTCTCTGCTGTGCCATTCAGTCCCAGCATCCTCCATCTTTTCAACAAATTATGTCCATGGCAAAGACTTCCATAGGAAAAGAAACTGTCTCTTTCTCTCTGTGTATTGCACAGCTTTATTTCTTAAGATTTACCATCAGACTGATTTTCCACATGCTGCAAACAGTGCTATCAATCCAGCCCCAGCTAAACCGCACTAATTCTTATTTATTTCAACAGGAGAATAAATCTGAATATAGAAAGTTCGATTAACATACTCATTTGAACAAAGCCTCCAAGATCCTGGTGAGTTTTCCCCATAATGATTTACATTTAAATAGTGGTTCTCTACCACTCGTTCCATATGTTTTGGACTCAACTCCCATAACCTTTTCTCCAGTGCAAAGGTACTTGAAGCCCAACACTTCTGGAATACCAGGTATTGAGAACCTGTGCCCGAGACCTTCACTTATTATTTTATGGCTGCTTATGTGCATCATTTACAATGCAACCTTGTCTCTAATGAGCTAGTCAGTATAAACAGAGACAAAAAGCAAAATATCAAAGTTCACTTACTTGGAATGAGACAGATTCTGGAAGTGATAAAACACTGTATGGGTATCTAAAAGAATTCATCATAGCAGAATATCCACCTAGTGAACTATTTGGTGCTATAAATTATGGCAGCAATGCTGTTCTAGCAGGTCTTTGTTTCCATAAAAAAGTAAAAAAAAAAGATTTTATTTCCTCTCAATCCATTTTCCACTTTTCAAAAATCATAAATTTAGTATTGCTTTCATTCTTTCACTCTTCCTATCGTCCCTGAAAAGCACTGCAGACATAAACCGCTTACTTAATGCCAGGTTTAACTAATTGTTTCTCTAACTGACAGTTTCTCTAACTGACCACTCTGTGGCCTTAGACACTGTTGTTTGCCTGAACTGGGGTGGGCTGGAGAAAACCTCTGCTCTGAGGTTTTTACATGTTACACATTTACAAATGGCTGGTTATCAAATGCCCAGTTCTGAGATGTGATTCAGGCACACCTTTGCATTTTATTAATCACACTGTCAGGAGAAGCCTGGGCCTGCCTTCTGATGCAAGCTATGATGATTTTGCAAGCCACAGGTATGAAAATCTTCTGATGTGAGAGTTGGGCATTTTAGAAATGTCCTCTTTGAATTATAGGTTTATCTGCAATAAATATGCTGGGCAACCACCGTGATGTCAATCCATTTGAGGAATGAGATCCAATGTTTTAGCTGAGAAAGCACATGACAGACTCTGGTCAACTCATGAGAGGTGTTCATATGAATACTATAGTGAAGATGATTCTTTATGAAGGCTCCTGTGGGTAATACATTGCCTACAGGAAGGAGAAGACAGCAGAAGTCAGAAGGAAGTGCCTAGCAAATAGGAAAGGGAATGGAAATATGAGGCAGAAGTGAGAAGGACAGAGGGGAGCACCTACCGAGAGAGCAAGCTAGAGAAAGATGATATTAGAGAGAAAGGCAAAACCAGCAGAGCTTTCATTTACAAGGCATAGAAGTTCACCAGGAACCAAACCAATCTTAACACTGAGCCTAATGGGAAAATCTGATTTGACTTACAACATCTCATTTTACAACCGTCATCAGGGAGACAATTAGATTGTAAGTATGGGAGTCCGCAGTACATGCATTTTTGTAGTCAATGTAAAGAATCCCAAGATTTTTGAATCCCAAGGAATTAATTACTCTCATTCATCTCAGAATTTTCTTTTAAGTATTATCAATAACACCAGTGTCTTGTTTTCAGAGGTGTGCTGGGGAAAGAATAAACAGTACGGCTTTCTATAAACCTTCGTAATTACACTTCAGAATTGGCTTTGCATCTCTTTTTGGCCAGAGTAATAAATCATCAGACTTTGATGTCACTGAAGCCGGGGAGGGGGGAGGAGACACAAAAACAGAAAGAAAACTCTTGCACAATTATTGACATTATGCAGGTGCTTAAATTATCCACCCAAGCCTCTTTTATTTTTAACAGAATGCTTTTTATTGGCACAGGTTTTTCAGCAATAGCCATAGATCGGCTCTAACCAATAAATTTGGAAGAGCTGGGAGTAACAATCAGGCATGACACTTCTAACAGGGACTTTGTTTTCAATTTTGGTATTTGTCATTATTTAACTTAATGACGTGTTACGACTCAGATGAGAGAGAGAGAGAGAGAGAGAGAGAGAGAGAGAGAGACTTGCTTATTGTAACAAATAGACACCTTTTGTTTCCTCATAAATATTCACTCATTTCTATTTGTCTAATAGAAATAAAATGGGAGATCTACTAAATCACATACATGAACAATGTAGTGTTTTTGTTATTCATTGAGAGTGGTTTTGGCAACTTGTGATTGATACTGCACATGTTGAGCCAAATACTAGTTTTCTCATTGGAGGATGTTGCAAGGAGAAAAATTCTTGGGAAAAATACAGTAGTAAGAAGGAGAAAGACTTACTGCCCTGCTTGCTTTTTTTATTTACTCCAAGGAAAATGACACCTTAAAGTGTGAAACTTTGTAATGAAATTGGAGAAGCTTTTTGTTCTGAAGGCTATTCTGAATTTTTCCAGCTTTCATTACATCAATGTACAGTGTTTTACCCACTTCCGTAAGTAAATCAACTCTGCTTCTCTTTAGATTCAAATAAAATTTCATTTATAAATTCATTAGGGTTGGGCATTTGACCAGCCAAACAAAATTTGAACAGTTGAACAGAGAAGCGTTAAACAATGGCCACATCTCTTTAAAGCACTAATTTTCTTTTGTGTTGCCAAGTTGTTTCTGATCCCTTAATAGAGTGTTTTTGGTTTTTTCAAGGAGTGGTTTACCACTCTCATCCACCAGTATGTTTCTGTGGCCAAGTGGGGGTTTGAAGCCACGTCTCCTAAGTATGAATTCAAAACTTTATTCACTCGTCATGCTGGCTGTCCCATTAACCTTCTTAGGACAACAGATGACACTTAAATCATGTGAGGTTTATGTTAACTAAACATACTTTTTAAAGGAAAAAATGCAATAATTTATTCCAATTTATACTGCAATATCCTACTTGATTTCAGAAGAGTCTGACTACCAAGCAAGTAGCTAGATGACTGTAGCCTTGATATTAGAAAAGGTTTTCAGAAATATGAATGATTCGTCAAACTGTTCTCCTATTGAACTTTAGCACAGAACACCACTACAAGTGGTACCACTACAAGTACTTCTAAAGGAATGAAATCAAATCAATGACTTTTGCTTTGTATTCATGCTTGGAGTTTTAGCAAACAGCCAGAAAACCTTTGCTACATTACAAAGATTGCCATGAGCTGCTCCTGAGTGAGTGGCCATCAGCTTGAGTTTGCTAATGACACTGTAAAGATTTTTTTTTAAGGTCAATACCCATCCGTACAATAACATATGGAATAGTTGATGCCAATTTGTACCATTTGGACATACAGTGGACCCTCTACTTACAGAATTAATCCGTATTGGAACAGTGGCTGCAGGTCGAAAAGTCTGTAGGTCGAGTCTCCATTGACCTACAATGCATTGAAAACCGATTAATCCCGTAACCGCCTGTTTTTGTTCCATATTTGTTTCACTTTGGTTTTTTTTCTGGTTTGTACGTCGATTCTCCGGCTGCAAGTCGAATCTAAATTTTGCAGCCAGATAAGTCTGTAACTCGAAAAGTCTTTAAGTCGAGCCGTCTGTAAGTCGAGGGTCCACTGTAATACATTTGTGCAAACTCTAAGCAAGTTAAAAACAAACAAACCCTAAGCTAGGTTAGGACAAATGCCACTGCTACGATGTAGGGATGTAATTCATTGTTTATTTTCTTCCTGCATTTGAAAATGACATTTTTAACCTTTCTCCTCAGTGGGTGAGACTATGTGACGTCTTTTTATGTTTTTTGCTTTTTACACATCAATTTGCAAAGGTTGGTTTTGCACAACAAACTTGCATTTTACTTAAAAACCTATTTTGCACTGGAAATAGCTTTTTTTTCTTTTAAAAATGCAAGATTTTGTGTAGAAAACAAGATCTTTTTATTTTTTGTTATTCTAGTGCTCTAGATGATGGGGAAAATAAAAGGCCTGGTCTTTTTTGCTCCCATGCAGGAATAACAATAACAAAAATAATTAAAAAAATTAAAAAATCATGCAGCAGTTCACAGTACTTCTGACAGAAGGGATGTGCCCAGATCTTCCTTCTTACTGAGACCAATTAAAATCGTCTTCATTATACCATAACTGGTGAAAGACATTGTTTTAATCTGCAGGATATTCACCTGAGTTCCATGAAAAGTGACCTAAGGAAGTAAAAAAGTGGAAAAGTGCGGGTGTGTGAGTAATATGTAAAGTAGAAAAGGGGGAGGATCAGTGATGTGGGATTCACAAAAACAAACAAACAAAAAACAAAAACAAAAAAAAGCCACTGTTGATGCCATTTGTATTTTCCTGGTATACCACCCCTGGGGCACCACAACCTTCTCCCTTATTGAAACATAAGTTACCTTAGGGGGGGAAGAGTTCATAAGTCTGAGCTCATTTTAAGACAAGTAATTGTAGAAGTATCAAGGTGCAGTAATTGTTTTTAAGTGTAAGGCTCCTCAATCCGGTAGACTTTTGAGTGCAATAATGCCAGATCCAAATATTTCTACTGAAAGCAGCATAGGTCAGATGTACGCTACAGGTGCCTAAAATTGGCACTGACATGATAAACTGCTCAGGCAGATGAGTCTTTTGCCTGTAGCTACATGAA